TAGACATATTTAGACATATTGTTTATTAATTATTATAATATTAATTATTTATTAACTGTTATAAAGAAAAGAATACATTTTCTCTTAGAATGACCGAAAGACCTACTAAATTATCTAAATTCGGCGGGATGAATTTAGTCTCTACTCTTCTATACTAGGGTGCTTGCGAGAAATGTGGTAACAAAACGGCGAAAAATCGCTAATTGAGGTATAAGAAAGTTATCTAATGGCCTGCCACTGCAACCAACCAACTAACTATTTTTATTATAATTATACTTTACGACATATAGATTACTGTCATAATCTCAATGGGACCCATCATGTTACCATTAAGAGATTAACAAATGACAAAGTTCATATATTTTATCAATTCTACTGTTACTAGTTTTGCTAGATCCATCAAAAGAGAAATTTACTCTTTATCGGTTTTTGTTTGCATCTATTAATTTTGATAATGTATGCATATACGTTCAAAACTTGATATAGTTAACTAATTTCATAACTTTTCGAGTTTATATGGCTAAATCCACAAAAAGTTGCCTTTCAGTTTCAATCTACAGACGAACGAGAGACAGTCGAACAAACAGACGTATGGGGTATATAGGTAGTTAAACATACTGATAGATAAATGATTCCATACAGATTCTCATAACCTACTTATGTGGTTTAAGGGAATATATAGTGATTGCCATCGTTTTCACTGAGTTACAAAGATTTTACTACACCTTATATGACCTATTCGAAATATTTTTATGACTGACTTACAAAACTAAAAAATATTTATTATTTAGAATATTTTTGTTTTGAATTATCTAAAGTTTGTACGGTGATAATTGATAACTATATTAGGAAAATACTATCTATTTGCCTTCACTATACTAACATATTTTTAAACTAATAATTTTAATGAAGTATACTTAATTTTAAGAATCTATAAATAATTATCTAAAGTTTAGTTTAAGTAAGTACAATTGGGAAATTTGCTTTTTCAATTAGTTTTTATTCCGTTTTATGAACAATAAGTAAAATAATTATAGCTCATTGAGATTTGGATGAATAACTTTAGTTTAAATAATAAAAAGTAGTCTTGAATTATTTTATGTAATCTTATTTTTATAAATCTATTGTATAAAATGAAGTTTATTTTAGATTTAAATAAAGCAGTTATTCAAACTGTTAGTTTATATATAAGTTTTTATAAGTACCATAATTTTTTTAGTTACAAATAATAAAGTAAATTCAAAAATTGAATTGATGAATTCAATGAAATTTAATTTCATTGTAAACTGAAATTTATTGCTATGAAATTGACTACAGAAAATCTACGATGTCCTTTTCTTTTATACAAATCGTTTCTTAAAATGGTAAATATTATTGACGACGTAAAACTCATGCAATATATATTTCAAATATTATAGTAGAATAATAATCCAAGCAAGGTAAAGTAATCTTGAACTCCTATTTAAAGTCTTAATCCTAACAAAGGTGCTTTAACTTTCAAGAAAGCATAGTTTTAAACGTAGGTCTAGAAGGGTAAATTCCTTTTACAGTACATCAATGACAAATGTGTATTACCGACACATTTAAATATCATTTGATTATCCCACTATAAATACTTTCGTTTCATAAATCTGTATTTTGTACTCCACCTTACATGAACTGGTACATATTTTTCAATATGCACCTGTATAATAATAGTATTTTATGTGGTATTTGAATTTGGGTTTAATTACTCCTACTCCGCAAAAACAAAGTTGTGTGAACTATAAAAGCTTACTGAATCTTATCAAGAGAATTTTATTAAATATGGTACTTTTAATTATAAATCATACTTTTGGTTTTAAGAAAAAAATAACTCTAACAATTAAAGGGCACAATGGTTTTCTGATCCATATTATATATTATCTACATAAATAATTAAAAATTGAAAACATAATGGTTTTTAATCGATTTATTAAATGAATTATCTATCTACCTATCTGCCCAGCAAATTTTATAATATTTTCATAATAAGCAAATTTTATAGAAACCCTATCATAAACACATTGAATCAAATAATTCTGAGAACGACGATATTTATCATATCATCCTATTTATTTATTTATTATTAACATATTTATTACTGCATTCCGATTGCAACTTTCTCTTTCTATATTTATGCTTTGTATTCAGTTTGCTTTCCATATACAAATTAATGGTACGAATATAATATATATCACTCAGGAAATTATGATTGCGACATGTGTTATGTGCTGTGAGAGAAGAAGTATTTGACACTTTAGTGTGATCAAATGACAACAAAGTCAAATGGCACCAATAAATGTTTTGAACACAAATAGTTTTATAAATTTAATATATTGTACTATATTTTTCCTACTTTACAAAAATATTTACATATTTATCATTTTATGTATGCAACGTAGATCGAAAACTCACTTGTCACAAATAAAATATACGTATTTATGTGTGCATATATAATAAAACATAAACTAGCGAGATTTATGATGTAGATCTTTGAGTGTGATTTGTAACATATTCTATTGCTCTCCACTAAATTTTTGTGGGTGATAGTATTTTGTTTTAATATTATTCAAATTTGAGGATATGTTTACGTACAATATTTGGGTTTTAATGAAATATAATAAAATTAATAAATTTGTACAAAATATGATAATTATTTCTATATCCGTCTGATTTGATTAGCAACGTCAATTTAACTACTGCAGTTGTATTCTTTGGACATGAATTCTCCAATAGAACAAAAATTAACATCTAAAGCAAAAACAAAATTTCAAAAAATAAGCCCACTTTCCTGAAACTGCCTAACGAATAAACCACTCACATTACAATGGTGCCTAATCTAAAAACTGATCTATTGTGAATTTTTCTTGGATGAAAATGGAAAATTCCAGTCAGATGACAAAAGAGGAGTTTGATTATTATTTATAACTGTTAAGAGTGTTGAGTAAATTTAAATATTTAAAAAAAAGTAATTTTTTTAATAAAATTTGTGAAAATGATTGACAAGTTAATAATTGTGAAGAATCGTTAATTAATTATTAGGGATTTATAAATTCTGTATTTTAAATATACTGTATGTTATACTGTATGAATACATACAAAACACAATCACTATAATAAAAGCAAAATGTTATAACACAATTTTAAGAAAAATAAGTGTTCAGCTCATTTAGCATTAACTAGTAATGTTAGAAGTTTAAAAACTCTATAAACGAATATATGGACGATTTTGTAATGCGAGCTGGAACTATCAAACATTTCAAATATTTGGTCAATGAATAGCTCTCTTTGTATCCTCCTTATATCATTATTAAAATCTTAATCATTTTTTTTTGTTTGTTGTTAACTTTATATATTTTTTGTTTTTGGAATGCAAAATGTAATTATTCCTTTATATTTATTATCTTTATTGAAGATATACACATATATAATATAGTTTAGATCAGGATTTCCTAATCCACCGGTTCGCTAATTAAATTGAAAGTATATTTGCCTTTAAGCATATTATTTTTTGGAAATTTATAGGTATTGGTCCCTGCAAAACACATTAAATATTTAACCGCAATTCTTTTTAAGTTCTTGAGATAATATTTGATCATTTGAAATTTGATCATTTTACAGAAATAAAAAAGTATATTTTGGTACAAAACAAAAAACAAATTAAAGACGCATGTGGCTAAACATAAACACAGCGTAATGCATAAAAATAATATTAAGTCTAAAATAGCACTGGGTTCACACTGCATCACATCAAAACAGATAATGTGAATAATGTTTACACCAAGAGAATAATCAAGAAAAACGTATTTTCTTGAAAATGCTCTATATCTTACGAACTCCTAGTGACACTAGGCTCATATATAAAACTGATATAAAACACTGTGTTCAGGTGTATAAAAACATCTTCAATAAATCTGGAAGAGGTTAAATATATCATTCCTCTATATATGTGTTTTATATTTATTATCAAAGTATTGTAAGGTTATTTCCTCTATATATGTAATTTATGTTTTAATGTTAATGTATTGTATAATTGTTTCTTTGTGATATATACTAAAATATTATTACATTTTATTAATATTATATAGTGAGAAACGTCCGTCTGTAAGCTTTATATATACATACAATACAGTTGTTATAAAATTTCTATGTAACACAACATATTTAAAATGAAGTAATATAAAGCCAATACTACTACTACTACTACTATAGTGCTCTAATGGTGACTACAGCATATAGTCGAAATATCGGTTTAAATAAAATTTTAAAAAAAAAAAACAAAAACTATTTCCTAAAAACTGTATTATTTAACTACTGACCAATTAGCCTGTTAAAAAATAAAATTATTATTGTTAGAAATGAAATACGCAATAAAAGTATTACTTCCAACTGAAGAAGAAAAAGAAAAACGTGATTTATTTTTAAATGAATAAATAAATAATAATTGAAAATTTAATTAATTAAAATTTAAATCAATTTGTAATATATTATACTTCAAAGTGTTTTTTTTAGTTTCAATATATTATATATACATTTATATATTATAAATAATTATATATACAATCGTTATATACATATTATTTAATGAAATGAAACAGAAATTTTAACATCTTGACAAAACAGATGTTAGTAGTAACAAAATATACACATACAATATGTTTTATTGCAATAATTTATTTATTTAGATTAGCAGTAGAAGCACATTTTTCATATCAATATCAAATCATTTGACATGCTGTAAATAAATATACTGGACTGATTAAATATTTACTATTAATCGCCTTAAAAGGCTTTGTAGGTCTTTTGTGTTGCCATTTTTGACTCATATTCGACTATTTACACCAGTTTGTTTTGTTTGAAACAATAAATGATTATGATAAGTCTGATTCACTCACATGCATAGCGTTGCCCTTATCTTATCAGGTATTGACTTTCTTTCTGATGTTTCCTATATATAAATGCAAATGCATAATTAAAATATTAATACAAAAAGCTCCGTCGTTCAAAAATCACAATTATTTTTCGCATTACAATAAAAGCGTGCATTTTGCAATTTAGTATGCGATAGCTTTAATTTTACAAATTATAATAATATTAATAAATTTTATTCGCTGAATAATAAAATGTATATCGTATTGTGAGTTAAATAATTAAATTCTTATTAAAGTGCTATCAAATAATCATACAATTAAATAAATAATTTATCAACATTTGCGTCAATGGTGAATTAAATATTATACAAACTTTAAATTAAATGTTTTTTCTTAATTGATTAATAAACTTGAGTATCGGTGCAATGTTATTTTGTTGTTAGTAATTTGTTGTGAGACAAAATAATTTATTTTAAATTTTTAAAAGATTGTACTAAAATTGCTGAAAACATACCTGTTCTCTGTGTACTCTGTGTACTGCAAGAAGTTCAGTTAAACGTAAAATTAGTGCAAATCTTCAATAAATTTATTTTCGTTTAAAAACTAAATACATATATGTTAGATATTAAAAAATTTAAAACTTTCTTATTTGAAAGTTTCTAATTTTAATATATGTTGGTGTTCTTTTATTGAAGTTTCATTCAAATAAAATCCATATTTTTTTAGTTAAAAAATTGTATTTATATTTACTATTCTAAATTTAAAGATATATTAGTAATGTGTATAAAAACCAAATCCAAAGAATTGTTATTATTGTTAGGGGATGTGCCACCTCGACCGTCGGATGTATTGTGCCCCTTCTGTGTTAAGAGTAGCTCCCTTAACCCTGTTGCGTCAATAAAAAGTAGTATAGAACTTACTTTACAGAGTTTTATTGCCTCTTTCGTAAGAATACACATTCCCAGGAGTTTATTCCGTATGTGCATTAGTGCATGGCATTCTAACAGCACATGTGTGGCCGACTCCTCATTCTCTTCACAGAATCTACAGTTTGCACCCGTATGTGTATCCAGTCTCGTAAGGTGGTATTTTAGTTTACAGAACGCTGTTAAGATTCCTGTGATGATTTATATCGGTATATTATGTCTCAACTACTATAAGTCAATGAAAATGATATAACAAATCACTGAAAAAAAAACAAGTGGGTGTGATCGGCATCGCAAATTCTTTGTATTATGTTCTTGTGAAGTGACGATACACTGCAAGAAAATAAAAATTTCTAATATTTCTCTATTATATGCATTGTGAGATTGAAGTTCTAATTTAAATAAAATATTTTAAAATATGTCGTGTAAGTTTTTTAATTGGTTTGACACTCGCCTTTAGGCGCTAAAACCACAGGATTGCTTTTATTTTTGGTTGAATTATTTTTTAAAAAACCTGTTTAAAAAAAATATTGCAGTATAAAGTTTACTAAATTAGTTTATTCATATCCCAAATACCATATCAGAAACGGTCCAAAATTTAAATTCTAAACATGGACAGAACTATGCCAAATGTGTTATAAAAACATATTTCAAAAGTGATAATAAGTATAGTATGTCCAAGCACCTATACAATCGTTTTGCTTTTGTATGTTAATAACTTTGTTATGATATTTGCAGTCATTCCTGCTTAAAAGTGTCCTATATTTATCAGGTTATTAGATAAAACATTATTATTTAAATGAGGGTAATTAAATCTATTGCCTGCTTGATAGATGAATCATAAATTGCAGTTATTATTTATTATGATATGACAGGTGATTTCAGTTTAAATACTGAGTTTTGCATACTGAATTTTTGTGAAGATACCATTAATATATCACATGATTTTAACATTAAAAATGTTTTATAAACGACATTCTACAGAAAATATTTTTTATTTCATTATTTAAACGGTATTTTCATATTATTGTCATCTTAATAACAATTTAAAACATTTTACTTTGGTTTTATTTGAAGAATTAATTTAAAAAATTTTTACAACTTTAATTATTTCATTAATTATTAATGTTTTATTGATTTTTGTTATTTATGTTAAATATTCATTTACAATTTAAATGTTTTAAATATTTAACTTCCAATTAAAATATTCATTACATTAAAGTACTTTAGTTATTTCAGCGACTATTAAAAACTCTCAAATTAAAAGTTGCACTTTTATTCTTGAATATATAAAACCAATTTTCTCTTTAAAATTTCTTGTTTAAACTAATACATATATAACAATCTAGTGTAATATATATATTGTACAAAATAAATAAACTTTTGTTTACAAATAATATATATAATATAATCAATTAATCAGCGATTTAGAATCACTTGGTCTATTTGGCTTTAAACCAACATTATAAGTATCAAGCTAAATTCGCTACATTTAATAAAGAAAATTTAAATTTCTCTTTTACTAATATTAGATAGTTTTTGTATATTTACATACAAATATACAATAAATGCAAAATGCATTTTTTCTTGAGATATTTTAACTGAAGTTGCTGCTATTTTTTATATCAATGTTAGGGAAAATATTATTATTCACAATGCAGAAAGTAATTATTAGATTAAGAGTGACATTTATTATTTAAAATTCATTTATTATTTATTTACATAAATTATTATTATCTATAACTTTAACACAAAGTTTTCTTAGAATGAAACATTTATTATAGACAATAAAACACAATATTTATTTAAATAGCTCATTTTTTAAAGCTTTTTAAATTTATATGGAATTATTTAAAAATTAAAAAAATGTCTAATGAATTGTTTTTTTATTTAACTGAAATGGACCTATTTTACAAACCATATTTGACATAAATTCTGAGAGTTGATTGTGCTGTGCATAGTAAACATCATAATGATGCAGTCAAGATGCATGTGACTATGACTACTCTGACTATATAAAATGACGTATGAATGACTTATTACGTGTTTTGAATTATTTACGAAGAGCTTTAGAGATTTTGTGTACGTTGTGCATGGTTTTATTAAAATTTTAATTTTAAATCAAAATTTTTTATTGCGACAAACAGACATTTATAAATATTACTCACGCTAAACGCCAACACCTTCAGGTAAACATATAAAATTAAATATACAAAAAGTATTTTCTAGGGAACTACACATTTCTGTGACAATATTAGTTTGTTATAATGTTCGTTGAAAAATATGTAAAAAAATATAAATAATTAATATAAAATATTTCTTAATAATCTATTAAAATTATAATATCATTATTATATTATATAGAAATTATATCTATAAAGCATATAGATTTTTGTTATTTTCGAACACTTATTTATTTTCACATAATATATTTCAAGACTCCAAATATATTCTATATTTTATAATATTCATTCGAAAAACTCTTGATTTTATATTTGGAACTATTTAGTCATTGAGTATTCACAACAATGGGAGCATGATTTGATTGATTTATATCTTGCATCAACCTCGCCTCATCTATTGCGTTATTCATCTCTCAATATTACCGTCATAATTTTGTTTATAGAATTTTATTTTTTGAAAAGGTAAATAACGAACACAAAGAGCACAATTTAACTCGAAATATTTTAATTTATATAAATTTTAAAAATTGCTGTAATTTATTTTTTTGAATTTTTGCCAAACATTTTTTTTTTTTGGTCTAAAAAGAATTTTGTTATTATATACATATATACAAAAAGAAAAAAATAAACAAAAAATTAAAAATCAATTAAAATAATTTTTAGCACAAAATATTCAAATCTGACAGATTTACAAATAAGATGTTAGATGTTAATCAATCGATAAATTGCGAGCGACTTTTTTTGAGTTGCACTTTTATTTAAACCTTAAAATGTTTACAAAATGAAGAATCGGAGTATTCAGAACAAAATAGTAGATTTATATTTTAAAATGTTTACTCTGTTCTCGCATAGTATCTAATTTTAGAATGCATGAATACATTTTTATCGATTTTTAAACGGAAAAATTTGGGCTTTTATATATCGCATCTACCTTGTCTCATCTATTGTGTTGTTCATCTCTCAAGATTGCCGCCATAATTTTGTTTATAGAATTATACACTCGTTTGCAAGTCTTTTACTGTTTTACTTCAAGAAACTACAAATAAATCTTTACTGATATTTTACCCTATCATGCAAGTTTTCTCATTCAGATTTATTACGGTATGTTTAATCTTTTCCAATATACCATGTTTTGTTTAATATGAATTTACATACAAACTGTATATATAACGATTTTTTATCCGAAAGAATTTTAGGTAGTTGTTTCATTTAATGTAAATTCATTTACTTTTGCAATTATTTTTAAATTTCTATATTCTAAAACCCATATTATGTTGTTATGGAATTACAACTAGTAGAAATAATGTACACAAACAAAGTAGCAGTCTTGGAAGCAGGAATTTTAAAAACCGACTGAGAATTTAAATAGATTCAGAACACCCAAATAGATGATGATCAAACAGATCAAATATATGACAACCAGGGCCTTGGGAGATGGTTAAAAATGGTCCGTGAATCAAATTTAACAGGTATAGATACATAGCTAGTAGTTTGTCCACTGAGACCTCATTTATTAGAAAATAAGCACAAAAAATTACTAATGTATCTACGTACTTATACAATTTATTATAGATGCATAAAGCATATTAAAACTTTGTGGTCCCTATTAAACACAAATATATCATAGTGGTCCTTGGTCAAAACAAGGTTGGGTACCACTGATCAAATCACATTGTTTTTTTTTTTAGTTTTTTTTTTTTTGACCAAATGCAATTAAGAAAATAATAATACTTTTTAAATTTGATTTAATTGCAAATATCCCAGTCTTGATCTGGGCCAAGAGTAGGTCACTGGGTCGAGAACTACTCTCTTCTTCTGACATTAGGAGGCCAACATTCTGGCTTTCATTCGGAAGACGAAATGTCTTCTGTTCGGTAAGGGTCTATTGCAGCCCAAAAGATCAACCATGTTCGCAGTGCTTCGCTTAGTTGGGAGTTGGTACCACGTTTATTCCTATTCCTGTTTCTAATTGCAAATATAATATACATATATTGCATTTATTTAAAATACATTCTAAACGTGAAGTAATTTTATTTTATAAATGTTGCTGTGAAATGAAATAAAAAAAATAGTTTATTGTTGTTAATATTATTATGACATATAACCTGTGGAAATAAAATTTTTAGAGCTTGATATTAATTAAATTGTCAATTACAT